AGTTGGTTATGTATTTTTTAAATAAAAAAAAATTTTGAATTTACTTACTTGTAGCCAGAGTTAGAGGCGGTCGGATATTTATGATCGCTACTGCATATTGAAATTTATCACTAAGTACCCTTTTTATGGTCAGTATTATCTCTTGAATTACATATATTTTGATATCAGTTTAACGTTTTTTATAATCTAATTTTAAAGTATTATCTAAACTCTTTAAAATTTGAATAGTATTATTCTAAAATAGTTAAAAAAACTAAATTAAATTAAGCGATCATAAACTGATATAAAATAGCACTTTTACTTATATACTAATCCAAAAAGTCTTTTTATAATTATTATTTATAAGCTATAGATTATTTCAATTAGATTGAATTCTTTTGCAATTCCTATTATCTAATGAAGGATCAGAAGATATAGAAAAAGTTCTTATTCAATTATTATTTCTATGAAGTTCTCTAACTTCTTCTACTAATTTCAAAATAGTCGAACATAATTTTGTGATTTTTGATTTAAATAGAAATTAATAAAGTTAATATTAATATTCTTATTATTCTTATTAATTATTATTATTTAATAATAGAATTTTATTAATTTACATCACCTTCTTGATTTTTAATTTCTTTATTTTCGCTTTTTTTGTTTCTTATTTCTCTTATAATATCTCTATAATTTTCACTAATACTTCTATCTCTTCTTCTTTTTTCTCATTCTCTGTCTCTTCTTAAAATAAGACTACAGCTTTATTTACCCTCTTAGCTTCTACTTCTTTCACTTGACCTTTCATTTTCATATGAACTTTCTCTGTATAATAACCTTTCTCTGCTCTCTCTGTTGTATAATATTTCTCTTGAATTTTCTTTACTTTAATAGATAAAATTTTTTTTTCATATCTTATATTTAAAAGATTGTATGATTAAACACGTTAATAACGTTACTTTTTTCATCGAATAAGTTAACTATAATTTGAAGTCAGAGAGATAATAGCTATGACTTAAATCTAATCAACTTGACACACTGTTTATTAGAGAGTTTATTTAGTTAACAAGAATAAAATTATAAGTTTTATGTTTGCAAAATGTTAAGAGTATTTATTATTATTATTAAATGTATATTAAATACAATGTTGGGATCTGTTAAAATTTATCCTTTTTTCAGGGCATTTTCATATCCTTTATATAGAAAAATTATAATTAAAGAAAATCTATGGTATTTATAATACTATTGACAATAAAAATAGAGCTAACAGATATGCTAATTATATAAATATGAAATAAATAATAATAATGATAAATATGATAAAAATAATATAAATTATAAATATGTCATATTTAGCATATATGTTATATTTGATAGGTTCATCAGTTTTTGCCAATTTCAACATGATAAAAAAGGTAAATTAAAAAAATTGATATATATATACATTATAAATAGTCTCAATTAAACTTTATGATTATATTAATTCAGATTAACTATATTTGATAAGAATTTATATAATAAGGGTAAACTTTATGATCAATAAAATCAGTTTAATTATATTTAATAAAAAATGCATATTAATATTAAATTAAATATTATTTACCAATTTCATTATAATTTTATTATATATATATTAAAAAATTTGAAAATTCTAATTTTCAATTCAAATTAATAATGTCATCAAATTTTTTAAATAAAAGTAAAAATATTTCTTCATATACTCCTCTTCTCTAAACCTGAAAATTTGTATTATATAATTATCAAGCTTATAACAAAATTAGTAGATCCTAGAACTAGAGTGTCTTATGCTAAAAGTATTATTATACTTTAAAGAAAAAAAAAAATTAATTAATCTATCATTCATTAATCTGATATCTTTTTTGAAAGATCTTATAGATACTAGTGATGAAGGATTAGAAGAACTAAAAGAATTGAATAAAAAAAGTTATTCATTTTAGTAAGAATACCAATTATCTCTTAGTAAAAAAAAGTCTAAAATCTCAATTCTAAAAATAATAAATAAATTACTTTCTAATGATGATAGTGATAATATATTTGAAGAAAACAATAAAGGAGCCTTTGAATTTAAAGATGATATTTTAGAATACTTTTCAGATGATTTAGATAAAGATTTTTAAGTTAATTTTAATACACTAGAAATAGAATTAGAAGAAAATGATTTTAAGTATGCTGTTAACGTTACTCTTTCCGTCGAATAAGTTAACTATGATTTGAAGTCAAGGAGGTAATAGCTATGATTTAAATCCAATCAACTTGACACGCTGTTTATTAGAGTTTATTTAGTTAATAAGAAATAAATTATAAGTTTTAAGTTGGCAAAATGTTAAGAGTGTTTATTATTGTTATTAAATGTATTATAAATACA